AAACCTGAACTCTGTTAGGACCAGACTTATAATTTAGAAGGATCTGTTTTAGAATTTACCTTGTCCCACTCTCTAAGAGTTCTCTCAAATAATTCATAAAACTTTTTACAGAGCTATGTACCAGGCATTGCTCTAGGTGGGTGCCAAAGACCCATTGGTAAGCAAGGCAAAGTTGTTACCATAATGGAGCTTACATTCTAGTGATGGAGACAGACAATAAGTGGACAAATAACATAGACTATTTCATGTGATGAAAAACGTTATGGGAGATCCAGTCTTCCCCGGTAAGGAAGGAGGGGGTGATTTTTTTATATGGTGGTCAGAGAAACACTCTCTAATAAGGCAGTTACAGCAGAGACCTGAATGAAGAGCAAATCATGGGGACATTTGGGAAAATACATTCTTAACAAAGGGAATAGCAAGTGCAAAGGCCCTGAGGTGGGAGCATGCTTGGTTTGTTCAAGAAACACCAGGGAGGCCAGTCTGCCTGAATTAGAGTAGGCAAGAGGGGAAAGTGGCTGAAGATCACCACAAGACTTGGATTTTTACTCTACGTGAGATAGGAAGCCACTGAAGGGCTTAAAGCAGACAATGTGACCTGATATATGTCTTGAAGGGCTGATTCTGGCTACTGTGATGAGAACACACTATTGTGGGGCAAGGGCAGAAAAAGTGAGACCAGTTAGAAGGCTAATTCAATAATCTGGTGAGAGGTTGTTGTTGGTTGGACCAGAGTTGGAATTGGTGAGAAGCGTTCTGTATTAGTTATCTACTGTTGCATAACAAATGATCTCCAAATTTACTAGCTTAAAACAACAAACATTTATTGTCTCACACAGTTTCTGAGGTTCAGGAATGTGGGAGTGGGTGGTTCTGGCTCAGAGTCTGTCTCTCCTGAGGTTCAGTCAAGACGTTATGTGGGTCTGCATCATCTGAGGCCTTGACAGTGCCTCTAGGGTCCACATTCAAGAAAGCTCATGCATATGGCGGCTGACGGAAGGCCTCAGTTCCTCATCACATGGGCCATTCCACAAGACTGCCTCAAGGCACAGCAGCGGCTTCCCCCAGAGCAAGTGATGAGAGAAACGGGGAAAGGAGAAAAGTCAGACGTCATAGTGTCACTTATAACCTTATCTCAAAAGTAACACACCATCACTCCTGCCAGATTGCACTGGTCACACACACTGACCGAGTACAGTGCGGGAGGGGATTACACAAGAGCATGAATGTTGGGAGGTGGGCATCTTTAGGAACCATCCTGGAGGCTGCAAACCACCGTTCAGATTCTGGTTTTGTTGATGGATTATATCTAGTGTGTGCGAGAAAGAAAGGGAGCAAGGCTATCTGTAGGATTTAGGCCTTTTTTTTTTTTTTTTTTTGCAGGAGGGAAGATCAGGAGCTATTTTTGGACATGCTACATTTGAAAGCCTATTAGAAATAACTCAAGTGGAGATGTCAAGGGAGCAGCCAGATAAATATCTGAGTGTGGGGTTTCTGGGGAGATGGGCCAGCTGAAGATATCAATCTGGGACTGCAGTGTATGGTGGCATCTAAAGCTGGAGCCCGGATCCAATCCCCTGGGAGTCAAGCACAGACAGACAAGAGAACAGGCACTAGAGATAAGCCCTGGCCCCCAATGTTTAGATTTGGAGAGAAGAGGAGGAGCCATCAAGGAGGCCCAGAAGGAGCCAGTGAGGCAGGAGGAGAACCAAGAACTCGGTGCTCCCAGAAGCCAGGGGAAGAAAATGTCCCCTCCAAGTTCAGTGCTGCTGAGAGGTCAAAGAAACAAGAGTAACACGGTTCCGGTCCTCTGCCAGGACTGCCACCGAGGGTGACCCAGATTCTAGAGACCTACCGCCAGTGTGCACCATAGGAGTAGGAGAGGACCTTCAGATGAGAAAAACTTTGGGGGGATCTTGGGAATATGATAAGGAGGAATGGGAAAAAATCAAACCCAGTCAAATATCAATACTTAACAACAGCAAATAGTGATTACGAGTTGATTACGTATTATGTGCGGCTCTAAATACTGTTCATGTGTCAGGGCACTGAATGCCCAAGCAACCATGTGGAATAACCATTTTTTTTCCCCAGGTATGAGGAGAAAGTGGGCTCATAGAGGGAGTCAGGGTCAGCCTGTGGTCACACAGCTGGGTAGAGGCCAGCAGGGATTCAAATCCTGGCCACTGACCCCTGAGCCCCTCTCTCGGCCCAGGGCACACCTGTTCTGCTGTAGAGACGCCTTCTGAGGGATCCCTTAAGGACCAAGGAGGAGAAGGGGGCCAAACAATATCGTTGTCTGGAGTTTTCTCCTCTGCCAGAGACCTGGATGCTATAGGAAATCTAAAAAGTGAAACACAGGAGACTTTGAACTTGCCAGGTGATTTAATTCAGTATATCAGTGCTACTCCTGGCTAGGGGCCACCAGCCAGTCCTGAGACTGCAGTTCTCACACTGCTATTTTATTTTATTTTATTTTATTTTATTTTTTAAAGATTTTATTTGTTTACTTGAGAGAGAGCAAGAGTGAAAGAGAGCACAGGGGGAGAGGGAGAAGCAGACTCCCTGCTGAGCAGAGAGCCCACGCGGGGCTCCATCCCAGGACTCCGAGATTATGACCTGAATGGAAGGTAGACGCTTAAATGACTGAGCCACCCAGGGGCCCCTCAAACTGCAATTTTAAAAGTCCCACTTTATTGGCTATTTTCCCAGGATCAGGACTCCCACAAGTGTTATCCCCAAGCCACTGTTACCCCACCCTCACCCCTATATCCTAGCAGGGGGCAGGGGTGTGGGAGGTGTCTGGGGCAAGCAAGAAACTGTATTCAGAACACAAGCAAGGCCAATGTTCCTTGCCAGGTTTTGTGGAAATCAATTAGAAAATCACATGGTCTGTCAATGAATATTTATCACTTAGACATAAGCTTTGTGGTAGTTACTACAATGCTTAGAAAGTAAAATGGATCCTGACATGAAAATGAAATGTGTTATATAGCAGTTTACTTTATTTTTAAGATTTTATTTGTAAGTAATCTCTATACCCAACATGATATAGAGTCACCCCAAGATCAAGAGTCACCCACTCCACTGACTGAGTCAACCAGGCTCCCCTACAGCAGTTTACTTCATAACTGTGCAGAAACATGTCTAGTTTACAATTAAATAAGTAAGGAGTGCCTGGACTGATTTTTATTCAATGAAAAGTGGACAGTCTTTCCCCAACATGGTTGTTTTTAAACCACTAATGCATTTTATAAGTACTTGCTATAAAGAGGTTAACAAAATAAGATGTATGCGATATCAGGAATTGAAGGCAATCAATCCAGACTTTCAACTGGTTAAGGAAGCACAACCAAACCAAACCTACTCTCTGCCTTAAAAAAAACTATAACATGCTATAATTTAAAAAATAGAATGTCTTTTAAGAGTGTTGATTATCAAAGATCCACCCTGAACGTGTCTTTGAGAATAAGATTAATGTACTTGATTTTTCCACTCTCGGTGCTTAGTCCTGGCAATGTCTGTAATTAGCTATGGAACCCTGGAAAGTCACATCCATCCTGAACCTCACTTGTGAAATGGGGATAATACTAGTTATTTCACAAGGATATTGTAACAATAAAATGAGAACACATATATAAAAGTATTTGATATTAACTCCTAATAAAATAAAAATCTCTAGCATAGCTTCTAGTTTTCAATTTTTATACTCAAAGTAAATAATTATTAAGGAGTTTAGTTAAAGGGCATCCTTTTAAGGGACACATACTGAAGTAGTTTAGCATGAAATGATGTAACAACTGAGATTTGCTTCCAACTAATCCAGTGGGAACAGTGGCTTGGTGTAGAGATTTTGGCCACATTTTGAGTCTCATTGAAGCTAGGTGATAGGTACATGGAGTTTGTTAAAAACCACTGTTTGCTTTTTATTCTTTTTTAATTTTATTTATATATTTATTTTTTAAAGATTTTATTTATTTATTTGACAGAGACAGACACAGCGAGAGAGGGAACACAAGCAGGGGGAGTGGGAGAGGGAAAAGCATGTTTCCCGCTGAACAGGGAGTCCGATGTGGGGCTCTATGCCAGGAACCTGGGATCATGACCTGAGCCGAAGGCAGACGCTTAACAACTGAGCCACCCAGGCATCACTTATTTTTTATTTTTAAAGATTTTATTTATTTATTTGTCAGAGAGAGAGAGACAGAGAGCACAAGCAGGGGGAGAGGCAGGCAGAGGGAGAAGCGGGCCCCTCCCCCCATGGCAGCTGCTTCACCGACTGAGCCACCCAGGCACCCCTGCTTTTTATTTGAAATTTTGATATTGTGAAAGCAAAAAGCACAGGGGAAACTGGAGAGCAGTTTGTATTTAGCCCATGTGCTACCTGATTAAGGCTACTTCTGAGCAAACCTTGATATTAAAAAGAAATGGGGGCGCCTGGGTGGCTCAGTCGGTTGAGCATCTGCCTTCAGCTCAGGTCATGATCCCAGGGTCCTGGGATCGAGTCCCGGGTTGGGCTCCTTGCTCAGTGGGGACCCTGCTTCTCCTCCCTCTGCCTGCCACTCCCCCTGCTTGCGCTCTCTCTCTCTCTCTCTGACAAATGAATAAATAAAATCTATAAAAAAAATAGAAAAAGAAAAGGTAGCAATTTTGCCCAAATGCATGAGAGTTCATGGATTTGAGAATTTGATTATGTTTTCAAATAACCTTTTCATCTATTTTTAACTAAAGGAAAGCCATTTTAATTAAATGTTATAAGAAAAAATTAAATTTATGCAATTTAAGATTATTAATGGAATCAACACATCAGCCTGGAATCTTAAACACTTGGAGATCTTTCCCAAGAGAAATTTTGGGATATGTTTAACAATTTTCTGTCTTGAAGTACATAATAACATATCAATATTTCAAATGATGATATGCTGGATATTTCTGCGACAAAATCTATCACTAATTAAAGGGAACTGAGCAGTAAGTACATAACGTGCTCCCTTCCTTACCTTGAAGATGGGAGTTCTCTAGAAACTCTTCATGAGACTCTTTGGCTTCTCCAGGTTTTGTTGATCGATACTCACTCCTCAGAGAGATCTTCCACCATCTAAAGATTACCTGTGATTGAATAGAAGGGGATAGGAATTAAAACTGATTCCAATACCAACAGCTACAGTTTGGCCTGGGATTTTGAAAGATCACTGCAGTCGGCACATAAGGCTATGCGTCCAACATCATATGTAACTTTGCAATCTGGTGTCACATCACATTAGAAGTGAGGTCTGTGCATCACTGAACATTTTTCTCAGAGATTAGGGTCACAAAACCAAAGTGCTGGAAGGAATCTTAAACATCTATCAAGTCAATTGATGTTAAAATCACGCAGACCCAAACGGCTATCTGTCTCTTGAGGGTCTCTGAGAATAGGCATTCTCTAACTTGCTCCACTCTCTGCCTTCCTTCCTGTCTACAGGGCAGACACGATGCGTAGATACTTTCCTCACAGAGAAAGACAGTTACATGGCCAGCACCAGGGAAAGCACCATTATGCTCTGTCTGATGCATGTAAGTGTCATTACACAGGACACTTCTTGGTCATGGATCTGCCGCTAGTCCGTTTGACTTCTATGAGCCTGTTGGTTTATCAGGAGCAAACCTCATTTCCATGGTTATGGACGGCATGTAAGTTCTATGTTGATTTCATGGCAGTGTCAACTCCTGGCCTGGCTGAGGAGCCCCCTGAAGCTTATCCAATTTATCTCACGCTCTTCAACCTGTCATGGAACTGGGTAGTTAATTGAGATAACAAAGCCTCCACCAATTTGACAAGCAAACCAGATTCTTTCCACACTTAGATGAGGGCTACGGGGGAAGAAATGGGTAAGGGGACAGTGCAGAGAAACTGGTTGGCTTCCATTCTCGCTAGCATCACCTTGTAAGGTTACAATTATGGTCAGGAAAGCTCAGCCCAAGGCAACATTGTTAAGCAAGTGAAACTTGCTGTGGGCCCTCCCCTTGTTTACAGTTTCCTCTCCCCCCGTCCCCATCCACCCATCGCTCCCTGGGGTCCTCACAGGTCCTGGGTATACCTTTTTGGGCCACTGCCCTGTTACCTACCAGCTCTTTGCCCCTGTCCCTAGGCCCTTCTTCTTCTTTTTTTTTTTTTAAGATTATTTATTTATTTATTTGACAGAGAAAGCACAAGCAGGCGGAGTAGCAGGGAGAGGGACAGGGAGAAGCAGGCTTCCCGCTGAGCAGGGAGCCCGACGTGGGGCTCAATCCCAAGACCCCGGGATCATGACCCGAGCCGAAGGCAGACGCTTAACCAACTGAGCCACCCAGGCGCCCCCACTAGGCCCTTCTTGGTGTTGTTCTGGAACCCCTCCCCCACAGGCTTTGAACTGCCAGACCACCTCATGGCTCCTCACTCCTTTCTCCCTGCTTGCTGGCCTGGGCTTCAGCCAGCGTTCCTCTCCTTGTAGAGCTGCCTCCCTGTGTCCTGTCGTCTCCTGAGGCCCTTCTCCCCTTCCCTGATATCCGAAAGATAACTGAACTCTCAGGGCCGGGGAGGCTTTTTATACCATCTTACCTAGCACCTTGCCCAACAGAAGGTAGGTCCTTTAAAGGGTTGCTGTTCGTATAGGTTTTGTGCTGATCACTATAGAATATGTAAGTTACAAAACCCTAAAGTCTCAAAATTGTGGTAGCTGATTCCTTTCAGCAAATCTGTTAACCTGCCACTTTTGATTTTCCTGAGCAGGAGCCTCACCAAAATTGTCCTCTTAAACATCTTTCTACCCCATCTCCACAGAGGTGAGGGGCATTTTAGTCCCTAGGGCTGCCATAACAAAAGACTAAGGGCTGAAATAACAAAATTTATTTATTCACAGTTCTGGAAGCTGGAAGTTCAAGATCAAGCTGTCGACAGGTTTGGTGTCTGGGAGGCCTCTCTCCTGGGCTGGCAGATGGCCACCTTCTCAATGAAGCCTCTCACATGGCTTTTCCTCTGTGCGTGTGCATCCCTGGTGTCCGTCTCTTCTTATAAGGACACTGGTCATATTGGATTAGGGCTCCACCTCTATGACCTCATTTAACCTTAATGACCTATTCAAAGCCCCTATCTCCAAATATAGTCACCCTGGGGGTTAGTGCTTCGACATAGGAATCTTAGGGGGACACAATTTAGTCCCTAGCAGAATTATCTGTTACTGTATCTATATGATACACAGGGCCATCAGTAGAAAGAGCACAAATTCTGGAGAGAGGCAGAACTTTGCTATTTAATCGCTCTATACTTCAATTTCCCTTTTTATTCCCTTTCTATTAGACATCATTGAAATTAACATTAAATATGATAAATATTTCTTTTCTATTGAATAAAGATGCCAGACAATCTGAATCTAATGCTATGTTCTTTATATCACATGATCTAGGACTTTTAGAACTAATTGGGAAGTCAGAAATAATTTAGTCCACCTCTTGCAACTCATACAGCAGAGCAAAAAGTTTCCAAGAGGTTAAGTTAGAAGTGGTGGGTTGTCTCTCGCTACGACCACACCACCGGAGGTATGTTACAATGAAAGCAAGTCGCAGGTTGAATTCTGCCACAAGAAAGACCAGCAAGCAGGCACCACAAGAGTCCAAACTACATTTCTGGAAGCTCAATGGAGTCCCCTCCTCGCCGTGCACTTGGACACACTGCAGGAACCTTCACAGGAACGTTTCCCTCTGGGGCACGTGCCCCTCTATTACAATGACGTAATCAGCTACTCTTCTAGCCAGATCAAGCAACGAAATCCTTGGGCAAGTGGAGGATTCCGGAACAAACGGAGTTCTAGACAGGGCACTACTACAACAGCAATGTTGTTAGTGAGCTTATTTCTTATGTTGTTCAAAAAAAGGCAGAGAGATGTACACAATTGTCGAATCACGATATCATATTCCTGAAACTAATATAACACTTTGCATTAACTATCCTGGAATTAAAACAAAACAAAATAAAATAAAATAAAATAAAATAAATTTTTAAAAAGGCAGAGAAACACATCTGCAATCTTACTTGTCTCATATCTTGCACGTTACTCGTTTCATCAGTGAAAAATTATTTCCGACATTCATTAGACTAATTAATTAACCCTCCGGTACTGATTTAGAAGGCAATATTTGAAGTGCTTGCAATAATGGCCTCTAGAGGGAGGATCCTCAGGGCACAGACTCAAGTTAACTTGCACACAGATAAGCATCCTACTGGCTCCTCTGAGGTATTTAAAGTAAATTACTGAGAATATAACACTTGCCTAAGGAAAGATGACTGGTTAGAACCGGAATCCAAGCCTCCTTACTTCTAACTCATAAACACAGGGTTTGTTCTGAGGCACAAAGCTTTCTTGAAGTATGACTTTTATGCTACAGGTCAGCAGATCACCCCTACAGAGCACAGCACAGAAGTCAGAATCACTACTTAGCCTCATCAAGACGCAATTATGCTCCATATACTATACTTATTAAAATAGGAAAATTATATTTGATATTCTCTACCACCTACTGTCTCTCAGAGTGGTAAAGTTGTGTTTTTGTCTTTTTGGTTTTTTTTTAAGCAACAAAGCCTAGTATTGGTAAGGACAAGGAAAAATAAAAGCCCTTAATAATCACGGAGAAGGGCATGCATTGGTTTGGCAATACTCATCAAAAACCTTAAGTTCATTCCTACCCTTTGACCCAAACATTCTACTTGTTAAGAATTTATCCTCAGGAATTTATTAGAAATGCTTATAACATGAAGGACAGTTGAAAGACAGGCAGGCAGGGAAAAGCCCCCGCCCCCAAGAGGAAACCACCTTTAAAAGGATTTTACACCACCCCGGAAGGAGCCCTCCACCCTTTCCCACATGATAGGTAGATGACAAAAGCCTGATTGGATGACAGGCACACAGAGGGTTAATCAGATTAAAACAGCCTACAACAAAGAGCCCATAAAAACCCCTAGATCTTGGGGCGCCTGGGTGGCTCAGTCGGTTAAGCGTCTGCCTTCAGCTCAGGTCATGATCCCAGGGTCCTGGTCTCGAGCCCCACATTGGGTTCCTTGCTCAGCAGGGAGCCCGCTTCTCCCTCTCCCTCTGCAGCTCCCCCTGCTTGTGCTTGCACTTGTGCTCTCTCTCTAATAAATAAATAAAATCATTAAACAAAAACAAAAATACCTAGGTCTAACTGCCAAATCGGCAACCCTCTCAGGTCCTCTCCCTCTTCAGGAGTTTTGTACTATCGCTCAATAAACTTTACTATCACTTAATAAGCTTTGCTTTGCTGCCCACCACTGTTCGTCTGTCTGGTCTACCTCTTCATTCTTCTAAGCATCATGACCAAGAACCGTGGGCAGTGAAGGAGAAGAAATCCTGTAACATTTTGATATAAGAATGTCATAGGTTAATTATGACAATGAAAAATCAGAACTGACCTAAGGGTTTGAAAGTTGGGACTAATTAAATAATTATGGCACATTTAGATGATGGAATACTTTGCAGCCAATAAAAGAATATGTGAAAAAATAACATAGAACAATGTTAATGATCATTTGTGAAAAGGCTCAAAAGTATATACACCACTAATCCAAATATTGAAAGGAAAATATATATGCAGAGGGAAGGAGCATCAGTGTAGCAGTAAATACAATTGTTTCACATGACAGAAATAGCTTGAAGGAAGCTGAGCTAAGAGGTATCCCCCAAATATTTGTGAAGTGGTTGCTAACTATTCTGGTATTATCTCATCTTAAATCAAGGCATATATTCATATATAGTTATTCATATATAGTTATTGTTACATATTTTTCTCTAATTTTGAAAACCTTGAGGTCTATAAATACTGTTTTAAACATCGTTCTTATTTATTTTGAGACAGAGGGTGCACTCAGGCGCAAGTTGGGGGGAGGGACAGAGGGAAAGAATCTCAAACAGACTCCCCACTGAGCACGGAGCCCACGCAGGGCTCATCCCAGGACCCTGAGATCATGACCTGAGCTGAAATCAAGAGTCGGAGGCTCAACAGACTGAACCACCCAGGCGCTCCAACATCTTGTTCTTATTAACTGTGAATGTTTTGCTAATGAACATGCCTACAAG